AGGCTGGAGTGCAGTGGCATGTTCATGGCCACCGCAGCCTCAACTTGCTGGGTTCAGGCGATCCTTCCACCTCAGCCTTCCATGTAGCCGGAACTACAGGCATGTGTCACCGTGTCTGGCTAATTTTTTGATTTATTTTAGAGACGGAGGTCTCACCAAGTTGCCCAGACTGATCTTGAACCCGTGGGCTCAGGCAGTCCTGTCACCGTGGCCTCCCAAAGTGCTGGGATTATACGCGTGAGCATCTGCACCCGGCCTTTTAACTAGGGTTATGTTTCACATACAGCAGAGAAGTAGAAATTTGTATTACTCTCATTTTTGAAAATCGTATTTTTCTGAAGAATGGAATGGAAACGCATTATTTTTTAGATGGTTTGGGTGTTCTTTGACTAGAAGTCAGGCATCAGAGATGTGCAGAAGCCCCTAGGCTCGCGGAATATGCTGGCGGGGCACAATGCAGGCCCACCCCTGGACTCAGGGCTGAAGTGGGTTTGAACGTTCCATCTGTGCTTTCTTTGACTTGTGAGAGTTGTTCATTGTAGAGAAGTGTTCTTCCTTGGCTCATGGAGGGGCTTTCATGGCTTGATTTCACCCAGTGATTCCTTGTTTGCATGTGTCTGGTTTGTGCTCCTCTGGGTCAGCATGGTGATGGGACAGTCCAGCAAGAGCCAGGAGGAGATGGTTGGGGGGGTGTGATGGTACCAGCATAGCCCACTTCCATTGTGCAACAATTCACATGACACATACTTGTCAAGCCTCTCTGGTCAGACACTGTGCAAAGTGCCTGGAATTGACTGGTTATTTAAAAATGGAAAATGCTGTATCTTTTTTCTTTTGTAGGTAATTGGGGCCCCCACCTTGTTGTCGTGAGAAGTTGTAACATACTCAAGTGGGAGCTTGAATTGAAACGTTGGTGTCCTGGGCTCAAAATCCTCTCGTATATTGGCAGTCACAGAGAACTCAAAGCAAAGAGACAGGTATTTTTTTTTTTTAACATAAAATGAAGCTAAACAGAAAGCCATCTTAATTTTTATAGAAGACAAATTTTAAAATGTGAAGATGTGCTTGTTACATAATTATTAGAAATCACTTATTTGTGAGATGACAAACCTTTAAGTTGTTCTTAGATTTGAACCCTTGAAAACTTAGACGGCGCCCTTGGCTATTCCCTGTGAGGAACTTTACACACACACACACACACACACACACACACGCACGCACGCACACACACACGCGCACACACACACACACGGCTGGCCTGGCTGTTTCACTTTCCAGAAAGGGGGAATATCCTTCCAGAAGTCAAGTGTTCCTTGGGGCACTGTAGTTCTTTGTACCTGTGGGTCCCAGGGATGGTGAGAAGGTGTGATGCATCCCAAGTTCTGAGTTATAAACCCATGAAAGAATTTCCATGGACGTTGATTTTTAGATCTATTTGTAATATACAGATAAGTGTTTGGAACACATTTGGACATCTTTTTTCCCTTTTATTCACCCAGTAGTTTCTAGTCCTGGGTCACTAAGTAAATGTGTGTTGATCACAATTTTTCATGGAATATAAAATTTTGACTTGTAGTTGGACATTATTGTATTGGGTACAGCTTACTGAAAAAGTGAGTACCTTGAGATGTAGTTTCTTTTTTGCTGTCTTTCTTAGTCTGTTTGTGTTACTATAACAAAATACCACACATTCGGTATTTGTAACAATAGAAATGTATTTCCCATGATTCTGGAGGCTGGGAAGTCCAAGACAAGCCATCATCAGATTCTGCGACTGGTGAAAGCTTGGTTTCTACTTCCAAGGTGGGGCCTTGCTGCTCCTTTTCTTGAGGGGACAGATGCTGTATCCTCATATGGTGGGAGGAATGGAAGGGCAAAAGGGCCCACGCTGGCTAGGTGTGGTCGCTCATGCCTATAATCCCAGTGCTTTGGGAGGCCAAGGCAGGAAGACTGCTTGAGCCCAGGAGTTTGAGACTAGCCTGGGCAACATAGCAAGACCTTGTCTCTACAAAAAATAAAAACATTAGCTGGGTGTGGTGGTGAGTGCCTGTAGTCCTAGCCTGTGGTCCCAATTGGGAGGCTGAAGCAGAAGGATTGCCTGAGCCCAGGAGGTTGAGGCTGTGGTAAGCCATGATTGTGCCATTGCACTTCAACCTGGGCAACATGGTGAGAACTTGACTCAAACAAACAAACAAGCAAGCAAATAAATGGTGAGGGGCCAAGCTGGTTCTGCAGCCCTTTTGTAAGGCACTTATCCACTCTTGAGCATGAAGTCTCCCCCTTGATACTACCACCATGGGTGGTAAGTTTCAACATGAATTTTGGAGGAGACATTTAAACCATAGCACATTTCTGCATTTTAATTTGCTTTTGAAAAGCTTATAATGCAGTGAGCTGCAACACAGATAGTCACATTTCTTATCTTCTCTTGTGGAGATCATGTACTATAAAAGCTCGTCCACCTCAGGATTCTCTCTGATACATTCTTTAGTCTCAAAATAAAGATTCAAAGCAACTTTTTGGTCAGCAAAAGGCTTTTAGATTCCTAGAGGAAAAGATAAAAATGTAAATTCAGACGCTTTCTGTGTGCTAATAGCAAGTTATTAAGAATAGCGGGTAAGTTTTTGTAGGCCAAATGTTTAAGGTGGCGGTGAGAGCTCTGGAGAGCACATGTTCTCAGGTGGTGCCTGAGGCCGTGCGCTGAGAAGGCTGTGCGCACGAGAAGAAGGCTGTGTGCTGAGGTGCCCTCTGTCTGCAGGCGTGGAGCACACCCAACAGCTGCCACGTGTGCGTCGCGCCCTACTCACAGTTCTTCAGGGGCCGCACCGCCTTCACACGAGTACGCTGGAAGTGCCTGGTCGTTGACGAGATGCAGCGTGTGAAGGGCCTGACCGAGAGGCACTGGGAGGCAGTTTTCTCGCTGCAGAGGTCTGACCCCCGCGCGCGTGTGCTGGTCGTGTCCTTGCTGTTCTCTGTCACTGATAGAAAGGGTTCTGTCGAAGAAGTGTAGATGATTGCAGTCTCACAACAAACTGCCCTTCAGCAGCTCAGAGCGGGCCCTTCCTCGGGCCTGCATGCTCAGACATTCATGTCATAAAACTGCTGTCGTCCTTTGCCCCAGACTTGCCCTGAAGGCACTCGTCAGACAGCTGCGAGGCTAGTGTCTCACACATGGTCCTTTACTTGCTTGCAGCCAGCAACGCCTGCTGCTGATCGACGCACCGTTGCACAACACTTTCCCGGAGCTCTGGACCGTGGTGCACTTTCTGGTCCCGGGCATCTCCAGGCCCTACCGGAGCTTCCCCCTGAGAGCCCCCAGCGACGAGAGCCAGGATTACTACCACAAGGTGGTCATCAGGCTGCACAGGGTAGGCCTGGTACTGGGGCTCCAAGCCGACACATGGACAGAGCGTGTGCCTCCTGGTGGGTTGTTAGGGTGTCATGTTTGGAAAGAAAACAGTTTTTCTTTTCAGGTGACACAACCATTTATTTTGAGGAGAACTAAAAGAGATGTGGAAAAACAACTGACAAAGAAATATGAGCATGTTTTGAAGTGTCGCCTTTCGAATCGACAGAAAGCCTTATATGAGGATGTTATCCTACAACCCGGGTAAGTGTGGAGCCCGGCATGCACCTTTTTACCCTCCCTGGCTTTGAGGAGCAGATGCCCTTTCTGTGACCTCAGGAAAAGGTTCCTTTCTGGAAGGATAGGGTCTGGAGCTGGAGGCTGAGGTCTTTCCCAGGGTCCATGGTCTCACGGTGTTTCCGGTACTCTCAGGATTGTTCTGGCCCATCCCCTGGCCTCCTCCACTGGCTGCCTCAGAGCTTCTGCTCCTGTGTAGCTGCCAGTGTGTAGTGCGACGTTTCGTTCCTGCTCCTTTATCGACTGGTTCAGCCTCACTGTATTTTAGTTTCGATTCATCTAGGAGAGACTCTCTGCTTGACCAGATCATCTTCTCACAACCAACCCTAGGCCCCTGGTCAGCTGTGGCTAGCAGGAGGGTGGCGTGCTGGCATCTGGGGTGCAGGCAGGTGGTGCCCAGCAAGCCTGTCATAAGTGAGATGTGCCTCACCATACACACCACATTGTGCCATCCCCTGAGGTTCTGTCTGGCCAGGGAGGTGCTGGACGTGGATGCTGTGCCCTTACCTCGAACCTCACCACACTCCTCTCACGGGGCTGGTGTGGGTCTTTTCATCAGACTCTCTGTCTTTCTGAGTTTAGATGTAAAGAAGCAGAAACAAAAAACATGGAAATCAAATGTTGAAGGATTTTAAATTTCCTTGTACTCAGTTATCATGGAGACCACTGCAGCAGCCCACATGGTCCTGTGTTCCAGACATGCCCCACATGACTGTCAGGTGACCACTCCTTGCCTGGCTCATGTGACCATATGCATTCTCTTTGTGGGAAGAGAACGTGGGGTCTAGTGAGGTGCCACGGCAGGAATGATTGAAGGCGACTGTGTGAGTGCGCCTCAGCCTCAGGCAGGGCTGCTGTGGGCAGGGCCATGGTGTGTGGCACTGCGTGGTCCAGGGCTCCCTCTCTGTTTCACCCCTCATCTGCACTTGGAGGGCGTGTGCTCCCGGCTGTGTGGGTAGGACCATGTACACCCAGTGAGCCTTCAGGAAAGGGTTTGTGGGAGTGCAGCCTGTTGTGAAGCCTCAAGGGGAGATTTAGGACAGAAGCAAGGCTCCTCTAGAGTTTCCCAGACAGCCCTCGACAGATGCAGCACTCGGCAGCTGTTCTGAGCAAGAGCAGTGGCACAGAGCACCCCACAGCCCTGCCGTGGCACTCCTCCTGAAAGCTGTGTGGGCAGAAAGACTGCCACATTGGCTGGAGCTCTGGGGTCTGATTTTCAGTAGACTATTGCCGTTGCCCTCTGTCAGTGTTGAAATGTGCTCCTGTTAGTGGATGAGGAACAGGTGTGAGTGGAGAGGACTCATGGTTTCTGCAAAGGTTAGGGGGCACGCTGGCATGGAGGGGCAGCCGCATCGGCCAGTGCCACTTCTGTTCCTTGGGTGCCTGCCAGGTGCAGGAAGACATTCCTTGGAGCTCTGGCCTGGTGCTGTCTGTGCTTGTGCATGGGATATATGTGTTTGCCTTGGGGTTGTGAGGTCTGTCGGGTTGTGAAGCCTGTGGTACTGGGACCCGTGGTGGGAGACTTTGTTTCTCTCCTGTCCTGGCTGACTCTATGACATCTACTACACTGGAATGGCAGGAGCGGCCCTTCCATGGTGTGCATAGTTCCTCTTTCTCCTTGCCAAGTACCGGCCCCACCCTGCAGCATCTGGTAACTGGCTTCCCAAGCACTGTCACTGTCAGGCACCCACTGTTGACAGCTCCTCGAGTGGGCGCTCACACCCTGCCGCCACTGCACTTCACCTGCCTGCCATGAAGGTGGCGCTGCCCCGTGTACAGAGAGTGCCAGAGCTGGCCCACCTGTCCATATTCCACCCTGCCTTCGCGTCGACCTCTCCTGCTTCCTGTTATGCCAGAGGAAGAAGCTGCCTTTCGTGATCACCCCTCTATGTGGGCTGAGCCCCATTCCGTTTCTGGAGTCCTATGTTCCAGACATGCCCCACATGGCTGTCAAGTGACTCCTTGCCTGACTCTTGTGGCCATGTGCCTCCGCTTCGTGAGGAGAGAACATGGGGTCGAGTGAGGTGCCACAGCAGGAATGATTGAAGGTGACTGTGTGAGTGCGCCTCAGCCTCAGGCAGGGCTGCTGTGGGCAGGGCTGTGGTGTGTGGCCCTGTGTGGCCTAGGGCTTCCTCTCTGTTTCACCCCTCCACTGCGCTCGGAGGGTATGTGCTCCTGGCTGTGTGGCTATGTGGCCAGGGCCATATACACCCAGTGGGCCTTCAAGGCCCTCCACGTGGGCTGAATCCCATACTGTCTCTGGAGTCTTCCATTTGCAGCTGTCCTGTGTTCTTGTATCTGCTGCCCTTCCTCCTTTGCATCCATCTGCATACAGCCACATGTTGTCATCTTCAAGGACCGCCTTCTTCCCGCCTCCTTTCCACCTCTGCCCTGCCTTAAGGGGACCGTCCTGACACCCATCTCTACGCGTGACCCCCCTTACCTCTCAGCCCATGTGCTCAGCTTACTTCACAGGACCAAGGCTGGGCCCTGCTGGGTCTTCAGTGACATCCAAGGTCCTGGCTCTCCGGCAGCACCCAGTCTCCACCTTTTCCCCCAGCATCCTTCCCCGGGACTCCCCAGGCTCTGTGGCACATGCCCCTTTCTGTGGCTTCTGTCACCTGTACTCAAGCTGTCCCTCCAGCACCTCAGGTCCAGTATTTCTAAAGCCTGAGCTTGTGTTTTTCCCAAACCTGGCTCGACTAGACGTCCTGTTTTAGGAGTTGGGTCTATCATCAACTTGGCTGTTTAGGTTATGAGCCTCCCAGCGTGCCCCTCATCCTCCTTTGCCCATGAATCTCTCTCCAGATCAGCCGTCCCTTGTACAACCCCCTGGAGAGGGCTGTTTCCTTGCTCAGTCCAAACTGTGCTCAGCCAAGAGGGCTAGTACATGCTGTCACCCCTCTGTTTCCTGCCTAGCTCTGGTCCCTGTGTGTGTTATAGGTCTATTTGTCCCTTTGACAAGGCAGTTATGCAGGGCACAAGTCTGGTCCCTTGTTCACCACCATGTACCACCTGCAGGACCAGGTGTTAGAACTCCCCAGGTGAGAGCTCTGGATTTGCTGTCTGTTTGACATCCTTGGTGAGAGGCCAGGGTTCTCTGTCTGTCTGTCCCAGGTGAGAGGCCAGGGTTCTCTGTCTCCTGAACTCAACTGTCCCTCCACTTGGCTGATTGCTTCGTCCTTCAAAGTGCACCTCCGATGCCTCCATTTCTCCTTCAGCGCACTCATCACAGCTGTGATTTAATAGGTGATCATTACATCTGTCGATCGACCTTTTCTTGTTAGAAGGGGAGCTGGGCCCTCATTCTTCCTTCTTGTTCCTGACTCTCTAGCAGGGTGACTTTTGGGTAGTATGGTGAATGGATGAATGCTGACCTGTGTGGGAACTTGGACTTGAAAGTTCACCCTGCATAATTCATTAGCCAGGTCTTGAGAAAGTACACTTGTGCTGTGCTGCTGGCATCAGGCAAGCAGACAGCGAGGCATGTGCCACTGAGTACACATTTCTTCTTCCCCGAGCAGAACTCAGGAGGCTCTGAAGAGTGGGCACTTTGTCAGTGTGCTGAGCATTGTGGTGCGGCTGCAGCGCATCTGCAACCACCCTGGGCTGGTGGAACCCCGGCTGCCAGGCTCCTCCTATGTGGCGGGGTCTCTGGAGTACCGGTCGGCCTCCCTGACTCTGAAAGCACTGGAGAGAGACTTCTGGAAGGTGAGTACAAAAACCCTTGCTGGACATCGGTTTCTGCCCAGGTCTTGTCCTATGTGTTGAAATTGTCTGGTTCCCGGCAGGGTCTTCTAGTGTGTATGGTGTGCTGCCCTTGGGGGTGTGCTGCCCTTGGAACAGTGCTCCCCACTGGAGGCCTCCCCAAAGGAGGTAGGCTTACAGTGTGAAAGCAGCAGAGGAAGGACTTTCTGGCATCACGTGTGATCTGGCATCACAGAAGCAACCTGTGTGCACAGTATATAAAGCAAAGATGCATTGAAGGTGTGCCAGTGCCTGGCTTATTGAGAGGCACAGAGAGGCGTCTGGCTTGCTGAGTGCGTGGACAGTCACAGAGGGTGCTTTGGGTGTCCCCTGTGGATCTGACAGGGTTATACATTATGGCCCCAAGGTTCACGCTACAGTCCCTGCGCATCCTCCAGTCTGCTATACACTGAATGGGTGGCCTTTCTGGGCAGTCTCATCGTTCACATCCTGTTGTATGTGTTAAGTGAGTGATTCATAGGAATAGCCTTGTTTCTGGCGCTTGAGAGATCAGTGCTACTGTCTGTTGCTGTTCTCATTCATTTGTTCAGCAGATGGTTCTTTTTTTTTTTTTGAGTTGGAGTCTCACTCTGTCGCCCAGACTGGAGTGCAGTGGGCGCTCCTGGCCACCGCAGCCTCAACCTGCTGGGCTCCGGCGATCCTTTCGCCTCAGCCTTCCAAGTAGCTGGAACTACAGACGCGCACTACCACGCCCGGCTAATTTTTTGATTTATTGTGGAGATGAGGTCTCGCCCAAGTTGCCCAGGCGGGTCTCGAACCCGTGGGCTCAGGCAGTCCACTCACCTCAGTCTCCCAAAGGCATGGGATTACAGGCTGAGCCACCGAGCCCGGCTCAGCTGATGTTTCTTGAGGGCCTCATGGGTACCCAACATGTGTCCAGGTGGTAGGGTAGTAGAGCAGTGCTCAAGACAGCTGGTACCCCTGCTCCCCACTATCCCTGGCCTCTCCCATCTGCCTGTCTCTATTTATCATACCACAATCATTTTTATGTGTGTGGAAAGACATGTATTAAATTATTAGTCACTTATCCCCAGCTGGTCGAAATGTGATCATTTTTTTAACCAAAAAAATTACTGGTATAATTTTCTGTGTTTGAATTTTTTGGTCGTGAAAATTGTTTTTTTTGTTGTTGTTGTTTTGGTTTTTTTTGAGTTGGGATCTCACTCTCAGCCAGGCTGGAATGCAGTGGCTCAATCACTGTTCACTGCAGCCTTGACCTCCTGGGTTCAGGCAATCCTTCTACCTCAGCCTCCTAAATAGTTGGGACTACAGGCACATGCTACCTCACCTGGCTAATTTTTTTTTTTTGAGTTGTCGTCTCACTCTGTGGCCCAGGCTGGAGTGCAGTGGCACGTAGCCCTGACCTGCTGGGCTCAGACAATCCTTTCGCCTCAGCCTTCCAAATAACTGGAACCACAGGCACATGCTATCATGCCCAGCTTTTTTTTTCCTAATTTATCGTAGAGATGAGGTCTTGCCAAGTTGCCCAGGCTGGTCTTGAACCCCTGGGCTCAGGTAATTCTCTCACCTTGACCTCCCAAAGTGCTGGGATTATAGGCTTGAGCCACCGCACCTGGTCGGCTAATTTTTTTTTTAAGCGATAAGGTCTAGCCAGGAGTGGTGGCTCATGCCTGCCTGTAATCTCAGCACTTTGGGAGACCAAGACGAGAGAGAATTGCCTTAGCCCAGGGGTCCAAGACCAGCCTGGGCAACTTGATGAGACTTTGTCTTTTTTTTATGTTTTTTATTTTTATTTTTTGAGTTGGAGTCTCACCTTCTTGCCCAGACTGGAGTGCAGTGGCCGCTCCTGGCCACCGCAGCCTCGAACTGCCGGGCTCTGGCCATCCTTCTGCCTCAACCTTCCAAGTGGCTGGAACTACAGGCACGCGCTACCACGCCCGGCTTATTTTTGATTTATTGTAGAGATGAGGTCTCGCCAAGTTGCCCAGGCGGGTCTCTAACCTGCGGACTCAGGCAATCCGCTCACCTCAGCCTCCCAAGGCACGGGATTACAGGCTGAGCCACTGAGCCTGGCTGAGACTTAGTCTTTACAATAAATACAAAAATTATCAGGGTATGCTGGCATGCGCCTGTAGTTCCAGCTACTTGGAAGACTGAGGGGGAAGTATTGCGTGAGCCCAGCTGGTCGAGGCTGCGGTGGCCACGATTGTGCCACCGCACTCCAGCCTGGGTGAAAGAGTGAGATTCCTACTAAAAAAAAATAGATGCAATCTAGCTATGTTGCCCAGGCTACTCTTGAGCCTTGGGCTCAAACAATCCTCCTGCCTTGGCCTCCCAAAGTGCTGGGATTATAGGGATGAGCCATAATATTAAATGGCTATTAAATTGATTGTTATAAAACCAAAATTTTCAAAGGAAAATAAATTGGACTCTGTGGAGGTGATCTTGATGCAAGGATGCGATGCCTACTGGCCCACGTGTGCTGGGAGTGGGGCCAACACCTTTGGACTTGCTGCTTCTCCTCTTGGTGTCCTGTCTATGATGACACCCACTGGCTCTGACCTCCCCTAGGAAGGCTGGGTTTGCCAGTACATCTGCTGGTCAGCAGGAGGTCTGCGGTCTGGATTGGTCTTTTCCTCTCCCCCTCACTGAAAGATGATTCTAGACCTCTGGTGGATGGAGCTTTTGAAGACTGAGCTGGTGTGTGTTGCAGTCTGAGAAGGGCCTGGGTGGTGAGCAGAACCTGAGTGTAGTGCAGCATAAGCAAATTCATGTTGAAGTGCGGCGGCTACACTGTGGCTCCTGCTTTTCACACAGAGATGTATTTTCCATTGAGTTAAAGGAAAATGCACATGTAGGAATCAAGACCAGCCAGAGAAGAGAGATGTGACACCCAGAGTGGGTTTTAAAATTTTTAATTTAATTTAATTTTTTGAGTTGGAGTCTCAATGTCACCCCAGCTGGAGTGCAGTGACATGCTCATGGCCACCGCAGCCTCGGCCTGCTGGGCTCAGGCAATCCTCCCATCTCAGCCTTCCAAGTTGCTGTAACTACAGGCATGCACCATCACGCCCAGCTAATTTTTTGGGGAGGTTTATTGTAGAGACAAGGTCTCGCCATGTTGCCTAGGCTGGTCTTGAACCCGTGGGCTCAGGCAATCCTTCTGCCTCTGAAAGTGCTGGGATTACAGGAGTGAGCCACTGTGCCTGGCTCACAGTGGTTTTTATAATGTGCTTTCATTTGAAAAACAGCTTTATTGAGGTGATTCTCATACCATACAACTCACTTTCTAAAGTATACAATTCATTGGTTTTATTTGATCAGAGTCATGCAGCCATGACTGTGAATTCCAGAACATTTCATTACCCCACAAAGAAATCCCATACTCATGTGCTTTCAGTCCCCATCCTCTGTCCTCCCAACCTGATAAACACAAATACGCTCTCTCTGTGTGTTTGCCTGTTCTGGGCATTTCTTAATAAACGGAATCCTGCAGTATGTATCTGGCTTCCTTCACTGCCGCATCGTGTCTTCAAGGTTCATCTATGTTGGTGGGTGTCAAGAGTTCCCTTCCTTAGCTAGGCTGAACAGTGTTCTGTCGTATGAGTGGACCACATGTTGTTTATCTTTTCATCCATTGACGGACTTCAGGGTTGTTTCCACTTTCTAACTACTCTAAATAATGATGCCATGAACATCCTTGTGTAGAGCTCTGCGGACAAGGTGTTTGTTACTCTCATGTCTCTACTAGGCGAGAAGTAGCCGGTCATGTGCTCATTCTGTTTTACCCTTGAGGAACTGCCTGTCTCTGTCCATTCCACCTCCCACCAGTGGTGCCTGTGGGTCCTCTTTCTCTGTGCCCTTGTCAGAGCCCTCTTTCTGATTCCTGCTGCCCTAGTGGTTATGAGGTTATGCTTTCAGAGTTAAAGTCCTGAGGGAAGTGCGGGTGGGCGGTGCTGGGGAGGAAGGGCCTCACCAAGGGTCTTCCTCTGTCATTCCTAAGAGTGTCCCCAGGCCAGGCGTGATGGGTCATACCTGTAATCCCAGCATTTTGGGAGAACAAGATGAGAGGATTGCCTGAGCCCATGGGTTCGAGACCGGCCTGGGCAACTTGGCAGGACCTCATCTCTATGATCAATCAGTAAGCTGGGAATGGTGGCACACGCCTTTAGCTACTTGGAAGGCATGGAGGAGGGATTGCCTGAGCCCAGCAGGTAGAGTCTGTGGTGGCCGTGAGCATGCCACTGCACTCCAGCCTGGACAGAGTGAGACTCCAACTCAAAAAAAAAAAAGAGTGTCCCAAGAAGGACTGGCCAGCCCCTCTGCTGTCGGGCCCAGCCTGTACCTATGCTGTGTTCTCACTCCCGTCTCCATGTGTCTGTTCCTCGCTGAGATGCTTCTGCGGCTGCCTCCCATCCTCTGTGGAGTGAGCCTTGCAGGCATCACAGATGAGAGACATCGCAATGTGTCTCCCTCTCCAACCTCAGGTTTCTCTCAGCTCTGTCCCTGGTTCGGGGAGGCCCATCATCTCTGTGTTGTTCAGACCAGACCTTTCCTGGACTCTGACCCCTCCTTTACTAAACCTCATTTGTCCCCTGATGCTGTCATCTCTCTTCCCATTGCCACTGGGGGGACAAAGTGTCATTATTCCTGTGCTAACTGGGGAAGCAGAAGCCCAAGAGGGCTGGGCCTGGTCCTTTCATTTGGAAATAAGCTTTGATTCTTGGTCAGGTGCTTTTTCCATCACCTCATGTAGCAAGATTTTTTTTCTTCTTATTAGGAAACGGATCTTTCTATGTTTGATCTCATTGGGTTAGAGAATAAAATCACCCGCCATGAGGCAGAATTGCTGTTCAAGAAAAAGGTAACACGCAAACTCATGGAGGAGATCTCCAGCTCGCCAGCCTCATCAACCCGGCCAGCGGCAGTGAAGCTGAAGGCCAGCAGGTGTGTGGTGGGGCTGCTGCCCCTGGCTGTGGGAGGAGTTGGCTCCAGGGCCCGGGTTAGAGTGCTCCCAGCTGACATGCAACTACACATGGTGAAGAGAAAGGCCGTCACCTCATTTGCTTATCTGCTCCTCCTGTGAATTTCCCACATGTCTTTGGTTTGGGGGAGTGTCATCGTTGCAGACACCCCTGTGCACACAGAGTGGCTCCTTGCCCACCCTGGACTGTAGCCACTCTTGGCGGTCTCTGAGCCAGCTTTGGGATTTGAGGGGGATGTCAGGCTGACCAGAACAAACGTGAGTTGTGAGAGCAAAGGGCAGAGGGCCCCACCCTGATGGCAGCAAAGTCGTGTTCTCAAGAATGACATCTGAACAACATCGGGAGTGAGGATTTTGCAGATACCACAAGGCTGGTAGAGACAGATGTGTCAGATGGCAAAATCAAGATATAAATGATTCAAGACAGGTGAAATCCAGTGATTGGACATATACAAATTTCTATCCTTGGGTTAAAACAGAGAGACAAGAGAAGAGTAAAGAAAATAGGTATTTCAGAGAAAGGACTAGTCCTTGTAGACAGGTGTCCTGCTCTTGCTGGCACTTCTGCAACTTGGCTTTACCAGAGACTTGGAATGCTTGCTCTCCTCTCATCAGCACTGAAAGGTTTCTGCTTAACCTGAGGATTCACCCCCAGCAGGCTGCTCCTTGGGGAATCTGCAGCCCTCAGTTAAAGAAATGGATGGGATTCATTCCACTTGGTGCTCGCCTGGCTTCTTTTCATGGCTTTTGATGGTCATCTCTGTCTGTTACTTTGCATAGGGGTTTTGAAAACAGCTGTTACAGTTTCCAGGTAAAAGAAAAGAATGGTGTTCCTTGTCCATGAGCTGAACTGCCATGTTATCAGATTGTTTTATCAAGTTGACTTGCCTCTTATTCTAATTGACAGTATCATAGACTTTATGTGTGAGATGTATTTTTTGTAAAAAATTGATGTGAACTTAAACATTAAATAATGTTCATCCCTTTATTACCAAGAACCAGGATAGATGTTTCTCTTTGGTGTACTGAGTCTCATCCCCTCGGCTTCGAGTGAGCTTTCTAGAGCGGTACTTAGAATTATTTCCCTCTGTCCCTCTGTAAACTGCACCTCTGGGACTGGGAGCCCTTAGCTGGCTTCCCAGGGGTAGTCCCTATCCCCTGGCTCTGTCGAGGCAGCCTGTCCACTGCATTCTAGTGATGCTCTGTTTGTCTTCTTGCCTGGACCGATGCATGTCTAGGTTGTTTCAGCCTGTGCAGTATGGCCAGAAGCCCGAGGGCCGCACCGTGGCTTTCCCTAGCACGCACCCACCCCGGACAGCAGCCACTACTGCGGCCTCTGCTACTCCACAGGGCCAGCTTCGAGGACGGCCACCCATTGCCACATTCTCTGCAAATCCGGAGACAAAAGGTAGACTTCATGTAGTTGTCTACGTTAAGTGTTATGGAGGGTTGTGGGAGAAGGCTATGGCACTTTCTTGTTGCCCCCCCCAGAGGTTGTGATTACTCCTCTGAGGGAGAGTGGAGCCATCCACTGGCTCCTTAAGTTCTTGATGAGTTTTAGGCTTTTTTATTTCTTGTAATGGGTTTTCCCCCCCTTTCAAGAAATTTCACTCTTGGTTGAGTAACTGTTGATCTGATATGGATGCCCACCTGGCAGGACATTTCTGTTTAAGCAGGTGTGTGCATGTCCAAGTCGTCAAGGAGACTTCTGAGAAGTCTGTTCTTGTTACATTTTGTTCCATCATTTCAACTTAACTTGATTCTTCCTTTGAAGAAGGATAGGGTTAAGGGGCAGAAAAGGTCATAGAAATCACTAAAATTAGTGTTCTACCACCTGGTCAACAGGGTCCTCGACATTGTGTCCATTGTGGTTTTCTGAGGAAGAAATAAGTGTTCGGACTGCATTGTTGCCAGGGTTCCTTGTAAGGACAGGAATGGAAGCGCTGCTTAGGCCTCTTTTGTCTTTAGGGAGTTGTTTCTAACCGTTTAGTGTTGATTGGGCTGCCCTCTAATACTTCGCCATTTACCCTGAGAAGCACCCGTGGCGTACTGCTGAGCTCAAGGTGGAAGTGATGGACAGTAGATACACAGACGTGTTGCTCTTACCTCGTAGACTGTTTCGGCCCACTCCTTTTTTTAAAAAAAAAGGAAAGGGCCTCTCGTTTGAGCGATGGTGTGAAATAATGTTTATTTCTTTAAAATTCGGGTTTGAATACTGCATTTTCTTGAGAACCTCTAACCGCTCTGCACAAACCAACCTTATCGATTGCAGCGGCCGCGGCCCCGGCTCAGACCCCTCGGGCTTGCTCCAGTGCTCCGCGACACCAGCCCGCCTCGACCTTCAGCGCAGCCGCTAGCCCAGCCCATCCTGCGAAACCACGGGCGCAGACCGCTGCCCAGGCCTCCACCCCGGGCCCGCCCCCG